GGGCGACCATTTATGAGTTTTTTGTAATCCGTTTAGGGCAATGGCAATTTCTTTAGCGGACCGGTTCGACACATAAATTAAATAGTTTTTAGGATGATGAAGGTCATGCCATCATTTAGGTTCTGGAAACCCTTACCATAAAGCCCCAAGGCTAAGGGACCAGAGAATCGGCCGCTAGATATCGGCATCGGCAATCTTGGCCAGCTGGACTTTCCCGGCCTTTCCAAACACCCCTCCACCCGCAAGCGCAAGCGGCCCATGCAGTCATCCCTACCAGAGACAACGTGCTTCGGGCACATTGAAAGGGATGGCCGGGGTTTTTCCGACTCCACGAAGGGGAGTAGGGTAAGGCCCAAAGCACAGGAAGCACAGAACATCAGAAGAGACAGAACATTTTTAGAGCTTCAGAAGAGAACACCTTAGACTTTCAGACAGGACAGAACAGAAGACATAGAGAGATACGCGTAACGGTTAGGTTGCGCGTTACAAATAGAGTATTAGCAATTCATTTAGTCCCACTTCAGTGGGTGGTCCTTCGAGTTAGTCGGCACCAAGTGCAATATTCAGAGGATCTCCGTCATCCATCTGATAAGTCCTCAACATATTTAGTATTTGCTCTCTTTTACATTTGTTACCGGAGAGATCGTTTCATGAATCGAACCTGTCAACTTGAACGAATTGAACGAATTTATTAATTGGTATAAATTGGTCTTTGTAGAATTTGATTAGAGAGCACGGAGAGTTGACAAAGTTGTAGTGATTCGAAGATCGACTTTCCTCGCACGCGCGCGCGTGTTGTACTTCTTTAATTTCCACTCTTCAGAAGATTTCCATTACAATAATAAATCGGAATAAGATAAACAAATATCAGGGGAAATCAAATACTGCAGTGGACAGCAATAATAATGTCTCTTCACAATTTCCTAGTGGTATACAAGACTGTTCTTTTCTGGTGATACTGTTTTTGTTCCTAGAGATTCTACTATGAACACGAGATCGCAAGTCTTATCAGAAACTACAAGCCTTATCATCGCTGGCAACAAATAACATCCTATTCGAATGAATTCTTATTCGAATAAAATTTTATTCATATGAATTACTATCTAGATAAATTTTTATTCAATTTGATACTAATTCGATTTATTAACCAGTAAAATCTTTAGTTATGAGTTGTGTTCTTGTAAATAACTGGTGCGTGCGGTGTAATTTGATAAGTTGCATAGAATCACTTTCGGGTAGCGTGACGTCGTAGCAAGAGAGGTATGAGAGGTATGAGAGGTATGAGAGGTATGAGAGGTATGAGAGGTATGAGAGGTATGAGAGGTATGAGAGGTATGAGAGGTATGAGAGGTATGAGAGGTATGAGAGGTATGAGAGGTATGAGAGGTATGAGAGGTATGAGAGGTATGAGAGGTATGAGAGGTATGAGAGGTATGAGAGGTATGAGAGGTATGAGAGGTATGAGAGGTATGAGAGGTATGAGAGGTATGAGAGGTATGAGAGGTATGAGAGGTATGAGAGGTATGAGAGGTATGAGAGGTATGAGAGGTATGAGAGGTATGAGAGGTATGAGAGGTATGAGAGGTATGAGAGGTATGAGAGGTATGAGAGGTATGAGAGGTATGAGAGGTATGAGAGGTATGAGAGGTATGAGAGGTATGAGAGGTATGAGAGGTATGAGAGGTATGAGAGGTATGAGAGGTATGAGAGGTATGAGAGGTATGAGAGGTATGAGAGGTATGAGAGGTATGAGAGGTATGAGAGGTATGAGAGGTATGAGAGGTATGAGAGGTATGAGAGGTATGAGAGGTATGAGAGGTATGAGAGGTATGAGAGGTATGAGAGGTATGAGAGGTATGAGAGGTATGAGAGGTATGAGAGGTATGAGAGGTATGAGAGGTATGAGAGGTATGAGAGGTATGAGAGGTATGAGAGGTATAAGAGGTATAAGAGGTATGAGGGCGAGCGTCTCACTGCTGCTCTTTTTATATTATCCTGTTTGCCCCCGGCAAGGGCTCTGGATACCCCCTGATTGGTTGACCCGCGAATGGGTTTTCCCAATGGGTTTTCCATCTCCTTCTCACCGCGTTGTCTCTTACGCCCTGAGCGCGTCCTGTTTTGGGACCGCGTGGTGATCGGAGTGGGTGCGATTTTTTATGATGTAACGGCCTGGGTTTTCCCCAGGGCTGTTGCGCTCGGACTTCCGGCGTTCGGGTCCGTTTTGCGTGCCCTTCGGAATTCCCGCTTTTTTATGACGGTCTCGTTGACTATCGAGAATTAGGTAAAAAAGAAACTCTACTGGCTTATTGCCATCCGGACAGGAAACAGCTTACTCAAAGATAGCCTTTTCGAAGGAGAGTCATAAATATGCTAGTTGTTTGCACGAGAAACAAATCTTTTCTTATGCGCGCCGATTGGCCGCTACAAATCTTATTCGTCGGTCTTTATCTCTTATCCGAATAACTCGAACAACAATAAACTTCTCGAGCTGAATTGTTTACCGAAGAGAATCCGGCACGGATGTTTCCGTAAATTAATTTTGTTGTTATCGGAAAGATTAGTTGGCAAAATGATTCGCGCATAACTCGAAATCGCGTAAGTAATGCTGTCGAAACGAACATTTTCCAAATTCTATCTGGCAAATTACTGGTAATTGATTCTCGCCTGGATGCCCTCCCTTCATATTAAACACATTCTAATGCGATGCAAATTCGTCGGGAATAATTCAGCGATTTATAATGAGAAAAATAATAAAGTTGAGACGGTGGAAGGGACGCAGAGGTGATGGTGCGAATTCTTCGGAGAATGATCGAAGGAGTATCAGGCCGATGAGATTAAGAAAGTACGTGGGGAAAGGATTCTGTGGGCGCACCACCTGGCGTTACGCGAGCAGACTTAATGAGAGTTCCGTTGCTCGCGGTGTATATCGAGCAAGGGCGTCATCAATAAAATCCTGAGAGGAGAGGGCGATAGCAAAAGAAAAAGAGAAAGAGAGAGAGAGAGAGAGGATGCGAGATGCTATGTAAAAATGCAGGGAAAACGCAGGGCGCCATGTGGCCTCATTAACCGGCTCGAGGATTTTTATCGTACTTCCTTTACAATCGCTGCTTCCACGATAGCGCAAACATGATATTCGCGTGGACGCTTGTAATT